ATTAGCAACTACTCTACTATCATTTAGTAATCTGACCTCATTTGTGTGGATGCAGCATATAAAGCCCGAAGAATACAGTAAACAACTCACCTCTAAACGGGTACTGTATCTTGAATCATGAATGCTTCCAATTAAGCTTAGCTGCTTAAATCTTTTGCTCTAGTAACAATTAGATGGAATGGGATGTCATTATCCTTGGAGCTTCTAGTTTATTCTCCTCATGTGAATTGTGTATGGATCCTTCGGAAGCTCTGTTCTGCATTCACTGGCCTAACATACAAATTCGACCGTTAAGGTCCATCTGGTGACGTTTATGATTTTACTTAAAAAAACAGAGGGGGGGATGGAGAGCAAAAGGACGAATGCACGACATTCATTGGTTTTTGCCTGCGGAGACACTCAAAAACCATGTTTTTGGTTTGTGAAAAAAAAAATTATGAATTCTTCCCTTCTTCCTATAATCATGATGAAACCCTTTTTTGCAAGCATGGACTTGGCTCTCCAACATGGATTCTTCATTATTGATATTGTTATTATTTTGTTTTATCAATGGATGTAAGGTTTGGTTGATATTCGTAAGAATGACATAATTTGAGTTGGCTTGATCTTGTTTGAAGTGTATGAGCCCAAGTCACCAAGGCATGGCACAAGCCCAAAGAATTAGACCCATAAACAAGAAACTTAAAACCAAAACCCAACAGAGTCTATCCAGCGAAAAAGAACTTTGATTTGTAGAGTGGTATTCGCATCCGACACTTTGATAGTGTGGGTGAGAAATGATATTTACCTTGTAATTACTATTGCTTGCATTTAAAACATTTATTATAAATAAATAATTAAAAAACCAAAACCAAAACAAAACGCCATGAAACTATCAGTCTATGCGTATGCTACTGTTTATCAACGCCCCAAATTGAACTGAACCACTGCAAATGAGTTCTGAAAAAAATTATTTTAACTAATATAAAGATTATTTTCATCTTCATGGTCACGCAAAACTACTTTCATACTCTGCAGGGCTTTACTTCCCCGATTTGGCAAATCCCATGTCTCAACAGTGAGGCAGACAATCCATGCTCCAACACCTTACCCTTAACAGACCCAATATCATTACTCTTTATCACCACTAGGCTAGCTAGGATCAATCTGCTCCTTGTCAGATTTTCACTTAAAGCTAATTAAAATACATGTATTATCTCAAAAGACATAGGGGCAATTTAAGGAGTTATAACTTAATATATTCCTTCTTCGATGTGAAATAATTGTATTTGATCCACATTTCCAAACATGCCCTATATTCATAGGGTAATGCTAGGCATACCACATTTATATACCACATTATGTACAAAGAGATGGTATACAATATGGTATATAAATGTGATATGCCTAGCATTTTCCATATTGATAGCCCTAATTTTGAATTGTCACAAAGTAGTTTGAAAATGAAAGAAATGAGCAAAGTAACAAGTTAAATAAAAAAATATTGATATATAGATCAGTCATTCAAATTACTTGCCCATTGAAACAACCCTAATACTATGCTCTCCCTTGCTAGTATATATATATATCACATATAATCAACATGCATTTCATCAGGCAAGTACTGGTAAATCAATTGATCATCAGCTAAGTCTCGAACTCTCATTTGGAGGGAGATTGAGATGGTGAGGCCTCAGAGCACGGCAAAGACCCAGGTGATAGAGATTGGCCATGCCTGTGAAGGAGTTCCCGAGCCAAAGATTGAAGATCACCGCCACCACCGCCGCCACCACCTCCAGTTGATGAACCCGAACCGCTACTGCCTCCTCCGAACTGATGGTTTCGTGGATCATGCAGCGCCCGGTGTTGCACGACCCAAGGTTGTTGGATGACCATGGGTTCAAAAAGTGAGGACAAGTCGTATGTGGCAGGCATGGAGGAGGCAGCCAATGGAAGGTCTGAGATGGAGAGTGGAGGTGGAGTTATGATCGATGGCGGAGGAGGGGGTGGAGGTGGCGATGGAAGCTCCAATGTTGCTAAGTGGGCTTGTAAGTATGAGAGCTCGGCTTGTAGACTCACCACCTGTATGTATGTGCATTATATATATAAACAGTAAACCCCAACAATAAAAAGAGAAGAGGGCGCAAAGAATTACTTATCATCTTAATAAATTCTCAAACTCTAGATTTTGTTCATATTATACTTACTTTTGTCCAAAACACTATTATTTTTATATAAATAATGCAAATAAGTGAACAAAAAATTAAAATAAGGAACAGAAATCCCACTCAACCTAGCTAATTATCCAAACTAATCTAAAACAACTTAGATTGAATATAAAAATAAACCGATTTTACATTTTTTTTAGTGTCTGTTTTGAGTATTTTTCCAGTAACAAAAGGACTAGATGAAGTTTGCATAATAAGGTTTCTTAGCTGGAGAAAGAATTAGGAAAATGACATGAGTTAAATATGAGATTATATATATATATATATATATAGAGAGTGATCAAATTGATAATGTATAATAATATAGGGGTTTGGTTTGAGACAAATTTAAGGCTTCTCGTCTTTGTTTATACTTAAAGGGTGCTTGAACTATGTGTATCAGAACATGGGATTGCGAACAAAGAAAGGATTCTCTCACGGCAAGGGAAGAAGAATGAACAAAGTTTCTTCTGCACATATATTTGTTCTTGGGGTTGGCGAAGCCTGTTGAATTTGGATGTAGTATCATCCATGTGGTAATAAGGATAAACTAGTTTTAACTTTTGACTGGAGCTTCAAACCGTGGACTCTACTCTAGAATGAAATTTTGTAACCTCTCTCACATTTCCAAATAATTACCTAATTAATTTTTCTCATATCAGTTCACTCATCATAAAACCAATACTATAATTTTTCAAAATAAAAAGATCTAATAACAAAGTTAGTTCAACATATATAACACATTAAAGCATGGTATTCTTCTTTCGAGTCCTCCATAGGTCTAAAGGGTATTCACATACGTGTCTCATGCACTCTAGAGAAAATCTCTCGTATTTATTATCACGTCTCTTAAAAATGAGTGACGCTCACTTTTCATATATGACTTTTTACGTGAGAAACAGATACGATTGAAATAAATGTAGCTAGTAAAAACAAGTGAAATAATGAGTTCCGGCGAGAGAGAGAGAGAGAGAGAGAACGTAATTAATGTAGCTAGTTTTTTTTTATTTTAATATTTATAAAGTGATATAACTATTTTTTTGTATATATGATAAAAGGATTTTTATTCACTTTTAATTAAAAAATCTACATTTTCACTTCTACACTCGCAAAAAGTTGGCCATCATCAGTGAGAGAGTACTAGATCTACCTTTGAAGAATAATTATTATTATAAATGTTCATCTGTACTTTTAATTCTATTTTTGGTGATGTGCAGCTGGAAAATAAGGAAACCAATTTCTGAAAATAAGATGGAACCAAAACAAAAAAAACAAAAACAAAAACAAAAAAGGAAAAGAAACTAAAACTCTCTCCACTTTTCCCAGGAATTACGTAGACAAAGGAAAATGAGTCTTATCGTCATCCCTAATTAATAAAAAAGATTATTGAAGAAGCAGCAAACCGACCATTTTCCTTAATACCAGCACCAAACAAGCACAAATTGCACAGCAACCATTTGCATATATAGTAACCGCCGACCACATGATTTCTTAATCAAAAGGGCCTCTAGATTTCAGTACTTGTTTCTTCCCACCACCATGTGAATGAATGTTCCTATACATTTTATTCTTTTCCTGGTTAAAAACCGCACCAACAAATCCCATAGGCCCGCCCTACCCAAAATAATAAGCTCGTGGTTTGCCCTACATTGAAGAACTCTTTTGGGTCAATGCGACTTGGAAATCATTGGCCTATGGCCACCCACAAGAAAAAGGAAAGGGTTATGGATTCAATTAGAAAGGGGTATTAAAACTAATTTACCCAAAAAGAAAAAATAAATTATTGGTTCTTTTAAGTTAATTAATCATGGACACTCACACACACACACACACCTGTTGTTGAAGAGCAAATATGTGAGCAACGCAGCCGTAGACCGGATCTCTAAGCCGGGCTTGAGCCTCGTAGCATATGGTGACGACAGCGTCGAGCCGCTTGTGGACCGGGATGTGAAGAAGAAGCTTGGAGACATTGCTGGCTCCGAACACCTTGTGCACCGCCGCAAAATGAGCAGCGCCTTGCTCCGAGTCGAAGTAGGGTGCAAATATGCAACCCAGCACGCACTTCCTCCTCAAAAACTTGCACGCGCCACATGGGCCGCCTCCTCCTCCTCCGCCGCTGCTACTACTTCCTCCGCCTCCGCCACCACCGCCTCCCCCGGAGCCACTCGGGTTTGTTGCATTCATTATGACGATGACCTTGATTTTGAGGTCTTGATGGTGATTTAATTAAATTGGTGGATATGATTTCCTTGTTTTGATTTAGGTTGAAGATTGTCTGGGGTTTTAGGGGGTCATGATGATGATGATGAGATGTGGTGCCATTAATGTTTGTGAAGTGAAAAGGAGGAGGAGGAGATCTTGGGGTTTGGTGGGGAGGGGGGTGTGGTTTTATTTTTGTTGTTATTTAGAGAGAGAGAGAGAGAGAGAGAGAGAGAGAGAGAAGGGATGTGGGGTGATAAAAAAACGCTTGTAGCTGATGAGATTGAAAGAAAGGAGACTTTAAAGCCACGCGAGAAAGCAAAGGCTTAATACCCACATTTAGCTGTTTGCGTGAAGCAAACATACGATAAAGCCCTAGCTTTCTTTCTTTTTTCATTTCATTTCTCTCTTCCTTCTTTCCTTCCTTGGTCTCCTGAATATTATCTAGCAAAACTCATGCTTCTACTTCTCTCTCTTTAGCTAGCCAAGCCATATATGCAATATATATAAGGGGGTTTTTTTTTTTTTTTTTGATAGTGTGTGTAGATGTAGGGTGAGTATATATGTATGTGAAATATATATATAATGGGGGTGGGTTGGGTTGGTTTGTTGGGGATGGAACAAAAAGAATGGGATTTTGGAAGGTCGAAACGTGTCGAGGGGACTGCCTATATTTGCCAGTCTGCGTGTTTTAAGCTGCGTGGAGGGCAAAAGACGCCATCTCTCTCTCTCTCTCTCTCTCTCTCTCTCACTCTCTCTCTCTCTCAAAGTTGAAAATGACTCATTTGTTTTCCTTTTCTATATGAAAAGCCAAAAAGAAGCCTGGGTTTGAAAGTGAGACATAAATGATGGTTTTTTATTATTGCTTCTAGCTAGTGTAATTTACTTTATCTGTTTTTACTAATTACCACTGGCTGGTTAATTTGCTAATGATTGCTCGCATTTTAACTTATTATAAACCAAGGTGTATACGCCCTAACCCTGTAGAGATATACATAAAACCAAATACGATCATTTGTGTGTGTGTGTGTGTGAGAGAGAGAGAGAGAGAGAGAGCGAAGCTAATAGCAATGATATAATTGTGAAAGCTGGGAATTGAAGTAGTGGTATGTGTCACTGATGACAATTGAGTGAGTGAACTGGTTAATGTGTATGATCAAATTTAATCGTATTTATACGCCATATATAGAAAGCAATCAA